TGGAGTAACGGATATCTGTCTGACCCTGAGGAAGGCTGGGCTGATGTGACAGATGATGTAATCTATTTATCCGCGTTTAGATTGGATTATCTATTCCAGTTAATAGCGACAAGCAAACACAGGCTGGCATCAATCTGAGTTCAGTCATTTGGTGAAGCATTTTGAATATTGGAAGATGCTGATAATTTCTTGGCTAATTTCAGGAAGTGAAGGGAAGAAACCCCTGTCCTTGCAAATGATTGCTTTGCAAGGGATACAGACACTCTTAAAGCTTACAATATGCACATCCATGACTTACTTTACGTTTTATGAATACATATTTTTCTTCTTGTTACTGATATACAAGATCGCAATTGAATTTGGATGGAGACTTCAAAAGTGAGCACAGAACGAGCTTGTGGCCAGAACATGCAGCTGTACCAGGGCAGTTGACACAGCAAAATTGAATGGATATAGTAACATTGACGTAATATATAAAGGTAAGCATTGACAGAAAAGGGTCTTGTGACACATTGGGCAATGTCCCTGCCTCTGATCCAGAGGCTCCTGGTTCAAGTCGCAAACCAGGACATGATGGCCAAGGAAGGCAGATTCAGAACCAGGTCGAAAAGGTTTGTTATCAGCTTAGAATCATAAGATCCCTACAGTGCAGAAAGAGGCCACTCGGCCCCTCGAGCCTGCACTGACCCTTTGAAGACCATTCCACCCAGACCAACCACCCCACCTCATCCCTGTAATCCCGCATGGGGTTTTGTCTTGTGATCTGTCATTTCCCTTATTCCCTTGCAGAGATAATGGGCCCATATTCTACTCCCTGGCTTTTGCTGGTGTTCACTAACTACCCTTGCCAGATCAGATTCAAATGCAGAACCCCCCTGCGCTGGATGATTTGTGAAGTGATAAGTAACCTATGCTGAGGCCATGCACTTGAGTTAACTCTGATCAATGTTTGAAACATGTATCTCGGATCTTGCAGAGATGGGTGGCGAGAGTTCAGTCTATCCACCTGAATAGGCCTGCACTCCAGTTCTGTGCAGAGCGGGCCAACCAGCAGTAACATTCCTCCTGATTGTTATGTTTCTTTTTGTTACGTGAGTGATGTGATCAGGAATAAAATGCAGTTTGATGATCCTGGGTTCTTTTGGAATTGTGTTATCAGGTAAAGTGTGAGATCATGACATAACAGACTTCCTAGAAAAGGCTTTTTTTGACACAAGGTAATAATAGCTGCAGGTTATGCACTTAGTGCAACAAATATCATAACTCATCCAGAGGATAGAGACAAGCAAGAGCTTTTGAGCAGGGCAGAGACTACGTTTGGGGTTATCTGTCACCACATGATAAAAGTCAACTTGCGTGACTTGGTTTCTTGCAATGTACATTTAGTTTGCTGGTCATATCAGCACACTATTAATGCACAAAGAATGCCAACATTCCCTTTTTATTCATAACAATGAATTATATTCCAAATATATTTAACCATGGTATACTTAAAACGTGTTTTATTCTACAGACATAGACTTGGTCTCAGCTGCTGAAGTCTGTTAACTGCATATTTAATCAAGTTTTTGGAGCTGTTTGTGTTGAAAGAATCTCTTTGTGCCATACAGTTTTAATTTAAGCCTCTAAATTATTATCCGGTTGGCTTCTACTGCCCTGAGATTTGATGTTGCTTTTGATGGTTGGATAGCTGAGTTGGTTGGGCAGCTGGATTGTGATGCAGAGTGACACCAACTGTGTGGGTTCGATTTCTGAGGTAACCCTGAAGGATCCAGCCTTCTCAACCTGTCCTGTCCGCTGAGGCGCGGTGACCCTCAGGTTAAACTCACCATTCTGTCATCTCTATTGAGAGTGGGACCCTTTTACTGTTTGAAATTTATTCTCTTTTGCTGTCTTCCTCTGTAGATGAACTAGCTGTTGCTAAGGTACAGTTCCACAGGCATTTACACTCTAACCCCTATACCGTAGCCAGTTAGCCATCCTTTAAGAATGAACCTAAATAGTGAGTGTCAACAATCTGTTGCAGCAAGCAATGAAATCATAACTGAGCAAAGTTTGCTGCCTTCCCCACTCCCACATTACCCAGTCCTGACTGAGGAAAGTGCTGAGGTCAATTCTATCATCCTAATTGCTGCTGGTCTGAGATCAGTCAGTGTAGTGATTGACATTGCTCTTCCATTTTAGCCGTGACTCCTGCACGTTTTGAATTTTGCAGGAGCTTTCAAAACTCCTGTCGGTTGTTACTTTTAAACCCCTTTTTATACTTTAAAACTCATTCGAGGTGTAGAAATGCAGGTCAGTCTCGGGAATCAATATCTGCGAATTGGGACCATTGGTAGCTGGCAGTGGGTTGGTTGAGGGAGCAGTCCATGTGATTCCAAGGCCTGGTGTGTGAGGGTTGGGGTAAGGACATGGAAGAAGGTGCTCAGGCCCAAAAATGATTGAATTTGATATTGAGCCCTGAAGGCTGCAGGGTCCCCAAGTGGAAAATGAGGTGCTGTTCTTCCAGCTTGCACTGAGGTTTGCTGTAACATTGCAGAGATGCTGGCCAGGGAAGACAGCGTTGTCTTGAATTGTCAAGCAACAGGAAGCTCAGCCTCATTTTCATGGACAGAATGTCCATGTTCTGCCAAGCAGTCGCCAAATCTGCGTTTTGTCTCCCTAATGTAGAGGAGATCGCGTTGTGAGCAGTGAATACAATAGACTAGATTGAGGAGATAGCAAGAACTGAAGAAGGGTCCCGACCTGAAACGTCAACTTTCCTGCTCCTCTGATGCTGCCTGACCTGCTGTGCTCCTGTAGCTCCAGACTAGATTGAGTGACGTGCAGGTAAATCACTGCTTCACCTGGGAGGTATGTCTGGGGCCTTGGATATTGAGGAGGGAGAAAGTAAACGGGCAGGTGTTACACGTGCTGCTATTGCGTGGGACAGTGCCGCGGGCTATGGGGAAGTGTTGGGAGTGAAGGACTAGGGTGTCCCGCAGGAACAGTTCCTGCAAAAGGCTGACAAGGGGATTGTGTGTTTGGTGGTGGCATCTCACTGGAGGAGATGGGAATGGCGGCTAATGGTACTTTGGATGTGGATGTTGGTGGAGTGGTAAGTCAGGACCAGGGGTCCATATAGCTGTTGTGGGAGGGTAGGGAAGTGGTGAGGACTGAAGTGTGGGAGTTGGGTCGGATATGGCTGAGGGCCCAGTCAACTACACTGCTGGGGAATCCTCGGTTGAAGAAGAAGCTGGACATTTCAGAGGCCCCCTTGTCAAAGTAGGCCTCATCGCAACAGATGCGACAGAGATGAAGGAACAGGGAGAATGGAATAGAGTTTTTACAGGAAGTGGGGTATGAGGATATACAGTCAAGGTGACTGTGGGAGTTTGTGGGATTGTTGTGAATATAAGTAGCCAGCCTATCCCCAGAAATGGAAGCAGAGATGTTGAGGAAGGCAAGGGAGGAGTCAGAGATGGACCAGATGAAGGTGGAAATTGGAAGCGAAATTGAGTACGTTTTCCAATTCTGGATGAGAGATGAAAACAGCACCAATGATGTCGTCAATGTACTGATATTATTGTTAAGAATTTATGGGCTGTATTTTTCTCTTTGGTCTTCCTCCATTAGTCCCTTAAGCAGCTTGCAAAGCCAAACATGCAAACAGAAAATAGCTCGCTAGCACCATCACCTTCTCAAAGGTAACTGGGGACAGGCCTGTAAATGCTGGCCTAACCAGTGATGCCCTCATTTCATGAAAGATTATGGAAAAGGTATGTTGAACCATTTGAGTCTAAGTGATTTCATCCATTTGAATATTTGGGTATTTTGGGAGGTGTGTTGTGATCCCATTGCAGAAGTTTATAATTTAATCGCCTTTCTGAGGTAGTAAGTGCAAACTGTGAGGAGTGGACTTGAAATACCCTGAGCATTAAAACAATCCTTTTGCTTTAAATATTTTAACATGTACCAAGGTGTATTTTAAACTGATCAATGACAACATTGACTTATATTTTCTCACACTTTGAACTCAGGTGCACTCCTGTTGAAAGTACTCCATTGATATATTTGTTTTTATTCACTTGTGGGACATGGGCATTGCTATCTGGCTAGCATTTATTGCCTGTATATAATGGTCCTTGAGAAGATGGTGGTGAGCTGCCTGTTGAACCGCTGCAGTCCACATGCTGTAGGTTAACCCACAATGTCCCTAGGGAGGGAATATTGACTGCTATTAGTTGGACACATGGCTTTATACTTGACAATCATTCAATCCATCAGTTTATACCCAGTGCCATTCATGTCCTGTCCTTGGCAATATTCATTTCCATAAGGACTTGTTGATCCTGCTTTTCTATTCACACCCTAGAGCTAGGAACACTATTGGCTGAATGATTCCCAGCTCCCCTGCAATGTGCACTCTAAAACTGGTCCGTTACAGTCTAAGAAAACACTGCTTTTACACAGCACAGAGAGAGGGAGGATAGTTCAGACCTGCTTTCCTCCAGTGCCTCACTATCTTGGTGCTGTGTGAGCCAAATAAAGCAGTAATTTAAGAAATTGCACAGAAGAGGTAGAGTACGAGGTTGGCCAAGAGGGAAGCATGGAAGATGATTAGAGTCGAGAGGAATGGGAATTCTGTGGATTCCATTTCATGTCTCCTTCATTTCTTTCCTGTAACCCAAGTCACAATCCTGAAACATGTAGGATTTTCTGGAGGAAACAATACACTACTACATGATTCACAATGACAAGTCATATATTGACAGAAATAGAAAGTACTTTAATGTCTATGTCCCAACCATGCAAGAGTAATAACATTAAAACCTCTTCTAACTCCGCAAGGTAGTGTGCGAAGTGAAACTAGTGGATCTGGTCTTTGCATGCTCAGTCAGTTTTGTGAGTCATAACGTATTTGTACAAGTAATCCCTTCACTTCTCTGGATTTTTGTTTTAAATTTTTGTCTGGCACTCGTGTAGTCTGCAGTCTGGTTAAAACGAAGAAAAGGACTGACCTTTGTGTTTGGCTGGTCTAGTGTTCAGGCTCTGGAATGTTGTCCTGATTTTCAGCATTGCTTTTACTGTGGCTCCTAACAAATACAGCTGGAAAGTGTTTTCCTTTATTTGAACCAACCGCTGACTTGTGAATGATTGCAGTTCTTCAGTGTGAGGATGAGGTCTGGAAGCCCTGTGTCTGCTGCTTTGCTGATAAGGGGAAGCTCTAGAGTGCTTTGTGACTCATTGAAAGTAAGAGCCAGAGATAAGATGCTGCTTTCGGACTGTTTTTCTCAACAGCTCATTCATGGGCGCCCATCACAGATAACATTTGCTGTATTGGCCAATATGAGTACTTCCTTGCATTGCAGTTACCACTGTTCTGTATTACTCTGTGTTTGAGAACTTGGCTTTTAATGTATTGCTATTGCAGGTGTAATGGTAATCCACTGTTCTTCATTCCAAAGACATCTATCTTTAGCACTGAGCTTCTTTGTGTTATACTGTGTAGGTTAAGTTCATGTATATTTATATGTGTAGGTTAAGTTCATGTATATTTATATATGTAGGTTCAAGTGTAGTGTATATCATTCTAAAGTAAGTAACTTCCATTTCTTATGCTTGATCAGTAAATCTTTTATTTAGTTAATGCTTTGTCGTGGAAGCTCATTAATGAAATTATTAAATTTGTGTGTTTTGAGGCTTTGCTGACTTTGCATGAATGGAAGAAGGGAAATTATAGCAAAATGTTGCCCTCCGATCAGCTGGATTTGCAGGTTGATTAATATCATATTACCTGATAAACAGTAAGTCGTAATTCCTTACAATTGATATTTGTATTTGTAACTCTAAGACTCACCTTGTCATTGGGTTTTTTTTTCCATATCAGAAGACAATTTCTGTAGATGGAATATGAAATTGACTCTCAGCTCCCTATCAGGAATGCCAGTGAATTGCCTTCACTCTAGCTCCAACCCTTTGATCTTTAGTGCCTCAACCAGGCAGATTTTACTTCTGCCTAGCGGAGCAGGCAAACCTTCCCACCGTGTCAAAGTGCAATTCTTACAGAAAGGCAATTTAAGGACGAAGTTTTAAAACTCCTTGAAAATGTCAGGGGAAAAGTTCCTTGGACCACACAGTCTTGAATTTGGCTGGATCGAAAATTTGAAATTCCATGTAACTTAGCACTACATTAATATCCAGTACTGGGCAAAATTGAAGTCTGCATGACCACAGCATGAATCGAAACATTTTTGGCTGTTTTGGAAAGATAACAGGGTAGTTAAATAGCATGAGCTCTAATTTGAAAAGAGTGATTGTGTTACAGTTTATGTGTGAAAATAGGTTTGTCCAAACAATTTTAATATTTTCAATAGCTTTGTGCGTAAATTTGCTTTTCGATAAGTGAGTTAGCTTGCGACATTATGCCATCACAGAGCAGGAAGCTTGGATTCTGCTTTGGTAGGCACTGACTAACTTTAAGATTAGCTGTCAACAATTGTTTGAGAATACTGTATAATCCCATCTATAATCTATAATCCCAGCCTGAGGCCTGATACATTGACCTGATATGCATGTTTAGTGTAATGTTTTTGCATATGACACTTCACATAAGTTTGCTCATTGATATTTAGATTAAACATTTCATGAGGTAGCAATAGCTGTTGCTCATACCATGTTGTAAGGACATGCACTGTCTACTTTTGGACAACATTGGCTTTGGAAGTCGGAGATACCCTGATCATCCATTCGGTCTTTTATAGCACTGAGGGTGAATAACTTTGTGCAACAATGATTGATTGGATTTACTATTAGACGTTTTTATTTATTTTACAACAAAGGGATGTTTCACTGAACAACATCTTGAATGTTACTACTGTCCAGAGACTGAACTGGACTGGCTGTCTAAATACAGTGGCTACAAGAGTAGATTGGAGGTTAGGAATTCTGCAGCGAGTAACTCATCTCCTGACTCCCCAAAGCCTATCTACTGTCTACAAGATATAAGTCAAGAGTGCAATGGAATACGGTCCATTTCTATGGCTGCAACTCTGACAATTCTCAAGGTATTCCACACCATCACTTTGAAAATTCACTCCTTCCGTTCCTGATGCTCAGAAGAACAGTTTCTATCATCTACCCAGATACGCTGCAGCTATTCACCATGGCTCTTCCAACCTGCAGTCTCTATCATCTGGAAGGACAATGGCAACAGGTTCAAGGGAATCAGCACCTGCAATTCCACCGTAAGCCACATGCATCCTGAATGGAAACTATATCACTGTTCGTTCAATGTCCCTGGGTTACAATCCTGGAATTTCTTTCATAACAGTGTTGTGGGTATATAGCACATAACAGTCCTATAGCACATGGACTGCAATGGTTCGACAAGGCAAGTCGCCTTCTCAGGGGCAATTAGGGATGGACGATAAAATTCCGGGTAAGCCAGTGAGGCTTATATCACATGCAAGAATTACAAACTCCTTTCATAACAGCACTATAGGTGTATTGATTCCACATACTTTGCAGCAGTTTGAGAGCAATTAGGGATGGGTAACAAATGCTCCTGATGCTCAGATTCCATAAGAAAAAATTAGGTGGTTACTTTTTGCATGTTTAGTCTTTTTGGAATCTATATTCGGATGTCTACAGGCCCAATATAATGTGGAATTGATTGTGAAAAGTTAGGAGATGGCAGTTACCTTGAAAATACAATAACTGCAAACAAATTGACCAATACCTTGGAACAGATAGTGAGAAGTTGGATATAAGCTGTCCTTGCCACTGGTATAGTGGAAAACAAGTTACCATTTGAAATCTCACCCTTAGCCTTTAGCTGGAATGGAAGATTCAAAGATTGAATGGGGCTGTTCATTTTTTCAATCACGGTACGTGATGTACAAGATCCATAACTTCTTGTTTTCACATATGTGCCAGCTTCTTGTGATTTAGCCAACCCCTCCCACACAAACATTCATTCAAAAAGTAAAACTTGCAATCTTTTATCAGACCATCCAATGGGCACATTAATCATTGAGTTTTAGCCTTTACCAGTCTTTTCTTGCAGCCTGTACTCTTAGTCAGTTGGACAAAACTGCTTTTAATAGTGGTGTATCATGTTTTTTGAAATTCATAAGGTTAAAGGCCTGTGAATAATCTGCATTTTAACAGCCATCTGGAATCCCATATGTTCCTCAAAGAACGAAGACCTGTGGCAAGGATCTGTACGGTAATGGTTTTTGCTGTCTCATGGATTGACCAGACAGTTGTCACCCTGTATGGAGCTGAACTAAATACTTAAGTTTATATTAATGATGTCTGGTGTGAACATATTGGAGCTTTTTTCAGATGTAAACAAAATTCAGCTCCTGATAGTCTGCATACAAAGGATACCAAACGGTCTTTGCTCATTGACATTGGGTGTGCTGGTAGCATAGTTATTTCACCTGCTTTTCATAGGTGTTCATTACTTGGGAAACTTGAAAATCCAAATGTAATTGCTGCATTATCTGGATTACAATGCTGATACTTCTTTATCAATTTAGCTACTGATTTTGTCTGAGTATAAATATTTCAATCTAATCTCTTAATGTCCAGTTGACAGCTTAATTCATTGGTATTTCTCGGGATGATCATATATTGTCCTGAGCTTTTATTTTCAAATTCTCTGTTCCTGTAGTGGGTAGATTCGGGTTAAGAAGAGCCAGCAGAATTGGAAGGTTTCAGTTTTCCCATGGTATGTCTGGCAGATTGCCATGAAAAAGAGAACTAGCAAAAGAATGAATTTATGGAAAACAGAGAAGAAGAGTAAGTAAGCGACTGCCACACAAATTTGTGGGGTTTTTCAAGTAAATTGGCTTGTTTGTAAAATAAGACTTTTTAAAAGAAAACTTGTGGAGCACCACATGGCCCTTGAATGAACCCTAGACCAGACTTTTCCTTTGGAAGGCTTATGAATACATTGACTAAACTTTATGACTTCAAATTTGGACTAAAAAGTTTTCAAGTTGAGAGGAAAGTGAAGGAGCACCTCTCATTATTGAGATTTAATTAGTTCTACCACAAAATATCATTGTAATCATATTTAATTCAGGTCTACATTTGTGTAAGTGACTATGAACAAGTTTTATTAAACATAACCATACATAAGGGATGGTGGGTGAGGCAATCTTCTGGAACCCTCCAGATTTAGAATCCAGTACCATGTGATCTGATGTCATCATGACAGACTTGCTTTCGAACATGCTCAGTAGCTGTTCCCAGAGTAAAGTTTTAATTAACCCTTTGCTCTACACTCAGTAAAGGTTTTCATGATTGGCGATCACCTTGAGCTCTATTTGTTACATTCCTGCCGGCAGCTCTAAAATGGGTTTTAATTTATTTTGAATGGGATTGGGAGATTTTGGACATGTGTTGGAAAAAACTATGTTCATGAGAAACATGACTTATTGTGTAGAACACCAACAGAGTTTGGCTTGCCATCATAGTAGTACATAAAACTGTTCCAGTTTACTCTTGGAAATTGCCTGAACCTTTTCCCAAAAGGTAACAGATTCTTCAGATTCATTGCTACTGTGTAAAAGTACATAATCTGACTGTTGTCAGACTTTGCTTGTGAATGAAATTTAGTTTTCAAGTTTGTTGATTTTATTTTTAATACACTAAGTGTACATAACATTCCTAATTTGTAATGTAAGGGGTTGTGTTCTCAGTCCTACCTGAGTAACTAATAATTTTTTTTATTTGTTGTAACTGAACCATTACAGAATCATAGATGTTTCATCGCAAGCAGGCCATTTGCCCCATGGGAATTTCATACTGCAGTTATCGCATCGCATTTCTCTCCCCTTTTCATGTAGTATTTAATATTATTCAATTGTTGAGGTTTCTCTTAAATATCATATTTTATACTTTCACATTCTGGTCACCCTTTGTGTGAAAGCATTTCTGTACCCTTGTTTATGCTTAAGAGAGATTACAAACTGACAATTTTATATGGATAAGTTTTCTGAAGGACAAAAAAGCAAGGAAGGAGTCCACACTTTGGAAAGATACTGAAGAGAGTGAGTGATTAAATTTAGGTACATGTAAGTAGACAACTTTTAAAACGAAAAAACAAATCTTGGACATAAACCCAAGTGCTTCACCCAAGAAATATGAGAAATCAGAATAAACTCTGA